GAGTCAGTTGGAGGAAGTAGCTGGTTTTTGGGCTTATCGGCTGAGAGAACAAACTCGGGCTAGTATCTCTCATTTGCTCCGTGAGCTTGTGTGCTTCTGCCTCTGTCTGTTGTAAAAGAAATGTGGATGTAGGACAGTTGGATCTGCCACTGTTGCATCCTGCTCTGCACCACTTCCGTGTTTATCAGCTTCACCTCTCCCACAGGATTTACACAAGGGACATGTAACCTCTCCAGCAAGGCTTTGTTTGTGTGTGTTTGTAACAGGTGACAACCTTCTCCTAAAGGATTCACCGATGCATTCCTGTTGGAAAATGAAGATTCAGGTACAAATGCTGTGATGTTTTGGTGTTGTCTTTCCTCTGTTTGTCAGACTGCTGTGTGTTTGCGTGTGTCATTGTGCTCATGTGAAAGGAGAGCTGTGAGATTGCTGTCTCCATGGTTGCTATTGTGAGGCCTGTTGTTGTGTTATGGAGATGAGGCAGTTTCTGTGCACTAGTGTGACAGTTTCAGCATCAGCTGTGAGCAGAGGGCTTTTTTTTTCTTCAACCAACAATGCCGATATTTGTTGTGCTTTCTGTTCCCTGGTTGTGTTTCCTCAATGACCCCCCTTTCTGCTGTCTGTTTCTGGCTGTAGATGTGTGCTCAGGTGAGGGCTTTTATATTTGGAGCGAGACAGAACTACTGTAGAACTTCTTTTTTTGCTTATATCATGTTATACTGACTAACCGTAACCGGACGGGTTGATCACACAAATATAGAGCACATCCTATATTTTTAGCTCTGTGCCATAATATAGGGACTGTAATTGCATGTACACTGTTTTTCAGGGTAGCAGATGTCCTAACAAACTCATTAATTACGTACACTGAAAAAAAATTGGTGAAAAGTTTACTTTGAATCAGTTTTCACTCAGAATGTGCGTGTAAATACTCCAATAATGTAGTTTCTGATTTTAATTGGTGTATAGTTTTGTTGTTTTTACAAGCTTACAAACCAGGCATCTAGATGAGACCTGTATTTTATTTAGGGCCTTAAATGGTGACAAAATACAGTGCCAAAACTATCTTTCATAAAAAATGGTCTTTAAATTATGAATCAAAATTTACTATGAACCTAACAGTATGCAAAAATATTAACATGTCATAGGCTGAATTTGAACATTTTTCTGGACATCTCCTGAATTTTGATGGTTTCATATAGGATTGCACCAATATTAATATTCTGACCGCTAAGCCGATATTTGTTTTCGTCTAATGGCCAATAACTGATAAATTGCTGATTTTAAATTCTACACCGTTTTGTCTGAATTAAAAATAAAACATTCAGTCGTTTTAAATGTTACAAGTGAATTTAGGCATCACAACATTATAATGTACAGTATGAAAAATGGATTTTTAGTGGAGATTTGCCAAAGATTAGATTTAATGGTGTTATTCAATTGTTAATGTTTTAAAGATTAACATTAAGTAAACATTAGATGATGGCAACGGTAATCTAAAATGGGTGAAATGAGCATAAACATTCAAACATCCAAATATCCAAAATCAGCCAACATATATCCAATATATACTTAAAAAAAAATCTAGAATATTGTCCACTTAACCAATATTGTGCACCCTAGTTTCATGCTTTCGACAGTCAATAACTCACCATACAAAACACATTGTGGTGGAAACAGACCATGTTTGTCCCTGTTGCAAGTGAAATCACATTTCTGGGTTATATTTTCTTTTATCCTGCATAGTTTTATTCTATGTTTGTATGTTTTTCAAGAACATCACCCTGCTTATTTGTAATGACATCTGCTTAATTTGGCTTCTACCAAGTAACCAAGAAGAATTACTGTACTTCTTGGTTAAAAAAAATACTGTAGAGTTTGATTGGATATTAACAACAAACTTTTTTTGCTGATTTTGTATTTTATGATTTGCGTTTAGCAATGCTGTCTGTGACCAGAACATCAGACCAGACCTGCGACCCATTTATGACCCACTGCTTTATATTTGCACTGCAGTGACGGCCACATTAGTTCAGTGATTATACTGTCTCTCAAAGCCATTATGTGTCATTAAATCTCAATTATGGGCTGTTAAATACTGTCTGTTAATATACTGCCACATCATGAGACTAAGTTCATCATTACACCATTTACTCTGCCTTAGACATCTCAGTTGCTCGGACCAAAACATCCCAGCGATAGAGACACGCGTGTCTGTGGTGGTGCACGAGCAAATCGCATCATTGACAGATGCACAAAATCGGAGGCTTTGTGTGAAATCCCCTCGTTTGGGAGGGGGGAGTGGGGAGACAGAGATTAGTGATCACATGCTCCCCCACCACCAGATAAAACCTGTTGGAGAGAGGAAGTCATAAGCGAACACATGAAGTGTGCCTGTGTCAAACAAAACGATCCGGTCGTCTTTGCTCAGACCAGAGAGACAGACAGACAGATAGACAGTCTGATTAGGGATGACTCAGTGATTTGAGGGAGAAGTGACTGAAAGACCTGAGGGTTCTGCTGTATGTTACAGATTATCCCCATTACTGCCATGCTGTTTCTCTTCTTTAGCACTCTGCCATCCGATTCACAGGGGCCGTATGTAGTGCTCACTGCTTCCTACACACTGAGCAGGTATCTGTGGAGCACTTCACTTAGCAAAATATGTTCATTTGGGACGACCTGCAATGTCTTCAAACATCAACATCATTGTGCTGGGTTTCAAAAGGTTTTCGAGTTTGATAATACAAGCATTTAAAAAATACAGTATAAGCATATAAGAATTTTTTCATGTGTACATTTAGCATTAAATGACTGGTGAGTTTTAATTGAAATATACATCACTGGAGGGGAATATCATCAGCGAATAATGGCTTAAATTTTGCTCATATTTTGTTTGTATGACTTGGAATATTGTACAGCTGTTTTCAAACTTTTATTCAAAAGTTTAGGGTTGGTGAGATTTTTTAAATGTAAATTTATAATTTATTCCTGTAATGGCAAAACTGAATTTTCAGTCTTCAGTATCACATGATCCTTCAGAAATAATTCTAATTTGTCTAATTCTTCTTATTGTCAATGTTGAAATCAGGTGTGCTCCTTAATATTTTTGTGGAAACCATTGTATATTTTTTTTTTTCTCAGGATTCTTTGATAAATAAAAAGTTAAAAAGAACAGCATTTATTTGAAATAGAAATCGTTAGCAACATTAAAAATGTCTTTACTGTCATCTTTAATCAATTTAATGCATTCTGAATAAAAATATTAATTTAGAAATATACTGTAAATATACTGTATATTACTTACCCCATGCTTTTATAGTGGTCATCAGGGTGTATTATTATTCTAATGGGAGATATTATGAGTGAATAAGGCTTAAATTTTGGAATATAGCACACAGTTTACAGTATATTATTTATTTTTATGTTGTTTTTGTCATGTTTGTAGCTTGATAGACGTGGAAATTATGAACTTTGTATTGATAAGTTAAGATTCTTCAACAAATCTTGTAATAGTATAGCTTACATATTTAGAATGACATAAGGGTAAATAAATAATGACAGCTTTTGACTTTTGGGTGAACTGTCCCTTTAAGTTGAGCTGAGATGCAGCAAATGCACAGTGACAAACATCATTATCATCATCATAAATATTTTTGCACAGTAGCTTGCTTGTATGTCTGATTATGCTTCCTGCATTTCCAGTGGCGTTCTGGTGTATATAATTATGCACAACATCTTCATGGGGTTTCAGAAGTTTGTTTATCGTCTATGAATGACCTCTCATTTGCATTTAGACATGAGGGAACAGTCCGGCCGGAGTGTTACGGGGGAACACAGAGGTCCCGGTGTCAGCAAACTAATTAGTCTTGACTGGCCTGAGTTAATTAGGAGTGGCTTTGAATCCAGCATCAGAAAAAAAAAATCTGAAACTAAACAACTAAAATCAGTGCTTTCCTATAGGAATGTAGTTTTGTTTTGAGATTAGAACAATGACAGGATGTCGGTTAATGATTTATACTGTGCAGGTGACTTTATTGCGGATGTGCAAAATGCCGGAGGAGTTGTGGGCTGTTATGTTTGGATATCATGTATGGATTTTCGATATTACTCACTTGTGCTCTCTTACTTTCACTTTTCATCTCTTGGAAATGTAATATTCAGAATTCCTATTGCTTTCGGTATTACTATAACCAATTTGACTGATAATTCTACACTCTCAAAAATAAAGATTTCTTCATCAAAACATAAAAAAAAAATTGAAGAACCTTTTTACCACAATAAAGATTATTTTGTGCATTTGAAAGATTCCATGGAGGTTCTTCTTGTAACCATCAATGCCAATAAAGAACCATACTCTTATTTTTAAGAGTGTATGGCATTTAAAGCAAACATTGTGATACCTGCAGTTTAGAATGGGCAAATGTCAGTACATTTTCAGTTCAAGTTTTTATTCAGATTGCTGATGGTATGCTTTGTAATTAAAAACGTATTAAATTAAAATCATGAAAAAATACTTTAAAAAAGATTTTAATAGTTTTTTGTATTTATTTGTTTATTAGATTGTTTATTCGTTTATTAAATTATTGTCATTATGTAATTTTTTTGATAAGTAATTTGAAAAATCATTTTGGAAAACAATTAGTGAAAGAAATTATCGCAAAAATGTGATGTGGTGTGTGTATGCATATGCATATATATATATATATATATATACACAAACAAAAACTATATGTGTGTGCATTAAACAATGAAACTTCTCTCTTTTTAGTTGAACATAAGCATTACTTTCTGAATCAAATTTTTATTCTTCCATGGCATACTGGAGATGTTTAGCCTACTAAATATAATTACTCGTTATAAATATCAGGGATTAATCTAGATGTTATTTAATAATGCAACATTTACAGCTAAGCAGATCTTGCTGGTCAATGTTTTAAGTGTACTTCTTCATTCCTCACTCTAGTGTAATTGTAGCATGTGGTTCAACATGATTAAGTGAAACAGATGAGTGGACGTTAAGTACAACCCTGTTCCCTATTTCAGTTGTTGAGAAAGGACCGTTTCCTGTGATTCAGTAGAGATAGTGCTCCGGTGCTCGGCCTTCGGTCAGCTGGGCTGATTCTAACTATCCTTTTCACATGTGATCATGTGATCTCCGGTTCATGGGCCTCAGAGGGCTGGGGTTTGTTTGACAGGTCAGATGTGTAAACTGCAGCTCTCAACTGAAAAGAGACCCATAATTGTTGTCATTGCCAAGAGTATGAATCGCCCTCTGCCTGTTTGCAGCTGCTTTGATATAGAAATTCGAGTCACCATTGTGTA